TAGAAAGTTATACATATAGCCAATTGTACTCTTTTCTGTAGTAGTTTATAGAATCATATTATTAATAAGTTATTAATAAAAGTTAAAAAACCAAAGAGGTCATCTTAACACAAAAAAAAAAATAAATACTAAGTAACTAAATAACTGTTAATAATAATAATATAATAATAAAAATAACTTTTTTTTATTTTTTATTTTTTTTACTTTTGCTAAGATTAATATTAACAATAGTTATTACTTTATTGTATTTTTAATTATAGATTTATAATATATATAAAGTAAGTATACAACTAGTTATACAGTATATGCAACTTTTGATTACTTATTTAAGTAATTCATTTACAGATACTATACTAGCTATTATATCTATAATCTGCTAAAAAATTAACTATTTAAATATTCTAATTTTTATATTATATTAGATGAATAGTACATTAGCTTTTGTACATCTAAGTATTATTTAATTTAATATTTAGTCTTTTATTTATACAACTATCAAGCTATTATCTACTTTAAAGTATATTATTTAACTATAAAGTTTGGAATATTTTTTGTTAACTAATTTATTAACTTTATAAACTATTAGCAGAGTTATATTTTTGTATAGTTTACTTAAATCTTAGCATTAATTTTACAACATATCTTTAGTATATTAATTCTATTTCTGCTTTGTTCTCAAACTTTTAATTCAGATAGTCTAATAGAACTATGATCAGTTTTTGGTATATTGAGTTTGGTTTTATATCTTTTTTTTTTTTGTTAAGGTGACCTCTTAGGTCTTTTGACTTTATTTAATAATGATAAATGTGGTTCAATAAACCACTACAGAAAGAGTGTACAATTGGCTACATATATAACTTTTTTATATTATCTATTTAAAAAGTTCACCCAAAAGTTTCTTACCAATTACTGTACCTAACACCCTTGCTTGGGTATATTACTTTAAATCCTCTGAATCTGCAAACCTGTTAACTTCACTAGGTCATATCTGATGCCCAGATCATCATCTTAATCTTAGAACTATTTTATAATTCATATAGGATGATTCCCAAAATTCTAAGTTAGAATACATTAGAATCATAATTGGCAGGGCCAGAATTAACTAATTTTGCCTAAGATCACTAAAAGTTTTACTAATAAAACCATAGCTCACTCATTAAGTAAAGCTGCCTAGCTGATAATTTTGGCCCAGAAATGGTTAACTTGTATTACTAAATGCTAACTAAATGCTAGGCTAAATCTGAAATATTTTAATCCAGAATTTTGAAAATCTTCTTGTATGAGTTTTATTTTATCCTTAAGGTAAACTCCTCAAAGCCTTCTGTATTCATTTTTACAGCTGACCTAGGTATTGCTATGGCAGAACTAACATTTGCAATTAGGACTTAACCATTAAATCACTATGTTCTTGTAGAGTTTACTTAAACACTAGCATCTACTTCATAGCATAACCCTAGTATTTTAGTATATTCTTGCCTTTTCACCTGCTTTTTTACCAAACTCCCAATCCAAATAACCTGTATAGAATTATGATCAATCCATTGGTATATTAGGTTAGTCTGATATCTTTTTTCTTCAGTTCATTCTAGCAGCCTAGTTGGTAGTACTCCTGAGACTTCCAATCCAAAGATTCTTATCCATCTGGCTACTATAACCTTGGTATTTGTTTTCTTAGACTAACCTTTATAGTAGAGCCATTGAAGATTCAGCTACTTCTTTACTTAGGTTTTTCCAAATAGACTTTTTGTTATCCAATTTCAACAGATTTATATAGCCACAAGGACTTATCTAGTATTTGCACTGCCTAATTGTCAGTTTGCATTCCTTTATGTAACTATAAATCTTGTTCCAAAGGATGATGTCATATAATCAGTTACACAAATACTCTATAACTTGCCAGTTATGCTAGTGTGACTACTATTACAAATATCTTAACCCAATTATTAGTAACAGTTGGCATAATACAATATTATATAGATAATTATTCAAATTTTTGCAGTTGATGGCATTTGAACAACCCAACCTACTACTTGGAGGGTTGACAACCTGACCACTTTACTAGGTTGCCATACTCTTGGTTTTATATCTTTTTTTTAGTTTAAATTTTAACAAACTGATTAGTAATATATATTTTTTATTTAAAAGTTCCTTTTTGCTTAGTTTTTTTATATTAGTATTTGTTTTTTATATTTAGTTTTTATAATAATACTATTAAAGATTTATATTACTTTATTATTTAGGTTTTTTTAAATAGATTTTTGTTTTTTTAATTATACAGATTTATATAATTACAAGAACTTATTTTAGATTTGTATTGCTTAATATTAGTTTGCATTTTTTAGTATAATTAAAATTATATAAATGTCTTTTAACTTGCTAGTTATACTAATATAATTATAGTTACAGATATCTTGTCTTAACTGATTAATAGAAAACAGTTGTTATAATATAGATAAAAATTCAAATTTTTATTATTAATAAATTTTGAATTTTTAAACTTATACAAGAAAATCCTCAAAATTTTAGATTAAAACTATCAAATTTAGTCTAGTATTTAGTTAGAATTTAATAATATAAGTTAATCATTTTTAGGCCAAAATTATCAGCTAAGCAGCTTTACTTAATAAGTAAGCTATGGTTTTATTAGTAAAACTTTTAGTGATCTTGGACAAAATTGGTTAATTCTGATTCTGCTAAGCATAATTTCAAAGTATTCTAATCCAGAATTTTAGAAATTCTTCTGTATGTGTTGAATTTCTAACTAGCTATTTAAAAAGATAACAACTTATCTATTTTTACTAAGTTATAATATTTATAAAAATAATTAATACTAAATAATAATAATAAAAGATATAATGACTTAGTAAGATAAATAAATTGACAACCTTCTAAATAATAGATTAGATGTTTAAAACTTATTAATAGCAAAAATTTGAATAATCATTTATATAATACTTATATTATAATAACTGTTTTTAATGATTAGATTAAAATATTTGTAATAATAATTATACTAGTATAACTGGCAAGTTATAGTGCATTTGTATAACTAGTTATATAAAGAAATGCAAACTGGCATTAGGTAATGCAAACTTTAAATAAGTTTTTGTGATTATATAAATCTGTTGAAATTAGAAAATAAAAAGCCTATTTAAAAAGACCTAAACAAAGAAGTAGTATAGATTTTTAATAATACTACTATAAAGACTAGCTTTATAAACCTAAAGAAACCAAATAGGCAAAAACTTTTAAGTAGAGAATATTATCAAAATTTTAATAAAAAAAACTAAAAAAAAATATATTAAACTAATTTAATATACTAATATATTGGTTATAGTCTTATTAGACTATTTGAATTAAAAGTTTAATAACTATATAAAGTATACTAAAGTATTTCAAATATGTTGTATATAAAGAAATATTAAAGTTTAAGTAAATTCTGTAAGAGTATAGTAGTTTAATAGTTAGTTCTAATTGCAAATATTATTCTGCTATAATAATATTAAGTTAGCTATAAAAATAGATACAAAAGACTTTGAAAAGTTTATTTTAAAGATAAAATAGTTCTAAAATTAAGATAATAACCTAAATACAACTTAGTAATATTAATATAGATTACAAGTTCAAAGAGTTTAAAATAAAACATTTAAGCAAAAATGTATAACTAATTATATACTCTTTTTGTAATAGTTTATAAAATAAATTTTACTAATTATAATTAGTGATAATAATCATTGCAATCATATGACCACAAATATTACATATTATTAATTAATATTTAATATATAATAACTAATATAAATAACAAAATATATATGATGTTGGTAGCCTATATTTGACAATCACATGATATGTTTCAATTTTGACTGATGATCATTTTTCATATGATTATCAATTTTAACTAATAAAATTATTGATTGATACATAAGTAACAGGCAATAGCACATAAGTTACCTTTTGTGAATCTATTTTTATATAAAAGCAATTATCTTACTGAGTATAAACTAAGTTAAGATGATCATGCAACCCATTATTTCAAGACTAATCTAATGTTCAGTGCTTACAATAGCATGTCTGTAAAAAATTTCATCACATTCTAAAGTCACATTTCAAGAGTTAAGTCTAGATACAAAAATATGGTCTTAAAAAAGTTTACTTTAAAGAATCACATAAATATTAGAAAGAAGTCATGAGAACATATAAAAAGTATAAACATTGCTGGTAAAGATATTAAACTGTAAAACAATAATGCTTTTTTTAATCTTTAATAACACTCAGTCTAATAATATACTTTTATGTATAAACTGAGTATTGAATTTTGGCTATGGATATACTTACTGCCCAAATCACAAACTATTATAGTTTGGGTTTGTCTATATCCAAATCCTGAACTATAGCCAAACTAATCTCAAAACCTTACAAATAAAATATATTTTATAGTTATATAAAATATATTTGCAAAATATCAAAGCTATTTTTTTCATTTAATTTTTATAAATAACAATTTTTCTTTTTGGCTTGGAATTTGTCTAGGTTTTGCCAGCAAGTATATATAGGTGCTATCAAGTGAAAACCAGTAATTCTAAAAATAGAATTCTTTAGACAATAGAATATATGATTTGAAAAACTAATACGTGATCGAAAAACAGTATAATTGATTATTATAATTAGATCAGTTAAAGGCTTGCATTCTGTTGTATTGTTGGAATTCCTGAGTGGCACCTATATATGAACCAAATTAATATTGCAAAATTGGATTAAAAAAAAACCTGATAAGAAACAGCAATATGTATTTTTTTTTTTTTAACCTATATTATAGTATTTACATTATTCTTTTTATATTTTCAGACAAGCAATAGTGTGATTTAAACTTATTGACAGCCCATTCGGCTATTCTACCCTTTAACCTTTTATAGTAGACATCTATATACCTTCATTATTTATAGGCAAACTTACAATGATTGCTGTTGGAATGCTGTAAAGGACTTCTGAAAGTTACTTTAGTAGGTCATTATAATTATAACTACATAATGCTCTAAGTTCCAATTTGGCGAAATTACAACATCATTTAATAAAGTTATATTCACAATGAATTGTTCAAAAATATGACCTTTTTTAACAATGACCTCTTCTAATATTGACTGCTGTTCACAGAAGTCCAGCTGTAATGAAATGATTTTTTGTGCACAGCAATTTAATTCTTCAAAATAATTTTTATTTTTTTCATCACTTCTTTTAGCACACTGGTTATATACCAAATTTATGCCTTCAACTAGCCAAAGATTCTGTTCTTCAAGTATTTGTTGAATTTCTTTTAGTTTTTCTCTTAATTGTTGCAATGGGTAATTATCTGGAAATATTATTTCTTGAACATATCTCTCTCTATACACATCAATATACCAACTGTCACACATCTTAGGTTGTACTTCTTCAGAACCTTTGTTTATCCTTGTTGCAACTAATACATTCGCTACCATGGTGTTATAGTTTGTTAACTAATCGAAGAAGAAAATGCTCACACATCCAGAATATAATATCTTAAATATAGGTATTGCTCTTTGTAAAAGCTACATTTATAGGTAATAATTATATTAAAAATTAGTAATAGATTAATATTAAAAAAAAAAAAAATCCTGTTTTAATATGTGTTCTGTATTCCAATATCCATCTGCTTGTACAGAGCAAATAATAAGAGCTTCTTTATATTCAATGTATAGATTTTTCTAGAACTGCTTTTTAGACAGCTGCAATAACCCATGGCATGGGCATATAAAAGCTGAAACTATTATGAAATGACCTATGTGTTTTGGATGTAAAACATTCTTATTTTTCATAGTCCAAATTCTATACTATTTATCATTGGCATAAAAGTAACATTTATTATGCATCACTTGTACAAATTCTCTTTTATTAGTCTTAAGTTCAGGATTTATAACTATCTTCAACATATCACCAACAAAGCCTTTCATGTGCATCTTGTAATGAAACATCCTTTCTAACCACCTCTTTCTATATTCCACTACATCCAACTGCTTATATCCATCATAATATACATCTTTTTTTCTTTCATTATACTTATATCCTAATGTATGCATATATACTTGACATGTTTTTTTAGAAATTGCATTTTTTGTATGCCCTATTTTTGGTAACAATGCTTTTTTAATATTCATCTTTAGGGCCCTAGAGGAGTGTGACTCTGGAGACTGTTACTGCAACTATTTTCAACATTCATTTGAAAAGACTTCATTGTTAAGTAAGCTTGAGACTTTTTTATATTTTCTTTGATTATAAGAAAAAAGTTTTCTAAACTCTAAATAACAATCATCCCATTTTTGGATACAGCTTGCTTTATAATTACCCTTATTCTATACATTTTAGGCAACTTAAAAACTTGTGCTCATTTTATCTTGATCTTTCAACAACAACTGTATGTATTAGCTTATGCTTAATAAGCACAGGTAATCATATATTAGTATATTACTTTTAGTTAATTTTTTTATTAGACATTGTTAATTAATTTCTTCTAAATGTATATGTAGGATTGCCTTAGTATTGACGAATAGCAAAGAAGTTTGTATAGTTGCTGAAGATGGTTGCAATAATGATACATGACTTGATGCTTTAGCTGAAATATTGAGTAATACATTACTCAATACTTCAGCTAAAATATTAAGTAATATATTACCCAATATATTATTACTGATTAATATATTATTTGATTTTGTTTCATCAAATAGTAGTATAT